AAAAAAAAGCAGCCGATTTTTAATTCCATATTCAATTATTTTTCAGCCATATTGAGTCTTCTGGAAGTTTCAAACATTAAGAATCACAGAATTTGTAATTTATATATCACCAGGCAAGAGGAATGATAACAACATAGTGACAGTTTGTTGTGATTTTTGTGTGTCCTGTTGAATCATCTATGATATCCCAATCTTTCTTCCTCTGGAATTACTGGAAAAACATGAATTACAAAGGAATCAAAGTCACTTGGTTTCGACAAAGTTTGCACTTCCAGAGCTCACCAGAGAACTTTCAAGCTCTCTGTAACTACACTGCACAGATAGTAGGTTGAGGCACAGAAGGGAAAAAATGACTGAACCCTTTGTAGTAATGGCAGAGCACTCCTACACTATTTGTGAGGCTGTCCACAAGATCCTATTATAAGGAGCATCTCTGGTGGCCTTTTTTTTTTTTTTAATGCAAATGGTGCTGAGTTAGCTGCATTTCTTGAAAACATACTGAATATCAGAATAGGGAAAGGATCAATATCAGTAAACAAGAATTTCTGATACAACGAATTTTTACTACCTTGCAGCCATACAGATCTAACACTAAACTGATTATCTGAATTATCACTGTAATGTGGTTAGTCACAGACTTAACAATAATCTTCTAACATGCAAGCAGATACATTAAAACGAAAAATAATCTCCTCTTTAAGTAGAGACTGACAAAGTAGACAAGATGTTTGCAGTTACAGAATGTCCCTTAACACCTTCCGCAAAATGAGAGTTTTTCAGGAAAGGTATCAGCGAGGTGCCAAGACCTGATTAGGAAAAGAAGGTGTACCATATCTCCATTCAGAGAAAGACATGAAAGGTGAGTTCAAAACTCTGTGACAGAAGATGTTACTGACCATGCAGACACAAAGATGCCGCTGATCACATAATTGGCAGCATCTTGCTAATCTGAGTGTCAGGACTGGCTTCAAGTTTGTAACTACAAAACATGCATTTCTCCTCTTGCTTTTAAACACTTACTGCTTATTAGAAGGAGAAAATGTGCACATCTAAGGAAGATACAGAATAGCTGAAAAGTTAGGCTTCATAGAAAGCACATAAAAAAACCCATGGAAACCTTTGCTATATGTGAATGCAGAAATTACAATGACAGAAAGCAGATGGCACTGAGATCAAACTTAGTTTATGTGAATGCATGTACTTAAGCAGTCAACAGTTTTGTCATTGCTTTTAATGGCAGCAGCATAAAGCTCGTGTTGTCTCACTACTTTTGCTGCAACTTTGCATAGAAACTGCAGGAATACGTATAGGTTGTTGGCAGGAAGATTTATTGCATATTAGATTATAAAAATGTCTCCATCTGGGTTCACCAGTCTAACAGCAAGCATAACAATAAGGTGGAAATACAAGCTTTGTCAGTAACAGCATAGCTCTTATAGGTGTGGCAAAATTAAATGAAGGGAAGAATAAGGCTAACAATTAATTTAAAACACACAACTAGTATTTGCTTGATGATTTATTAATGATTAACATTTAAACAGCTTTCTATATTTATTTCAAAAGTATGAGTTTAGGGCAAGTTTCAAACAGCACTTTAGATTTGGCTTGAATTCAGCTCTGGTCCTTTTAAAGTCAACTATCTGTTCAGTTCAGGGTTTAATTGTGGTATTTACTATAGGACTTTCAGACAGTAATGAAAATGTTGTTTGAGAAGCTTCAAAAGAATAATCACCAAGCAGCTCCATATATATCAACTCCACCTGGTGTACAGTGAATCACGTAAATAGTATGTATACTTCTCTAGTATTGCTACTTTAAAACACCTAACAGAGAATTTACTACTGCAGAGTAGACTGTATTACCACCTAAGTCTTTGCTACTTTCTAACTTACATTTCTGTAGAAGTATTTTTATATATGTATTTCCTTTCCTGTCTGCATTTTTTTTCCTCTGTTTAACTTCTTCTGACTTGGGGACTATTCAAAACTCCATGACCAGGAGTTTCAGTGAAATGGCAGCCACCAGGAGCTGCACTCTCCATGAGTGATCCAGCATGGTCCACTGCATGACTTCTGCCCATTTGGCCAACAGAAATCAAGAAGACATTTTTACAGTCTCGTTTTGTTCAATATTTCCTTTTCAGGTAAAAACAATTCAAAACACAAAGCCAAACTGTTATTTGAACAGACCAGAATTTTTCAATGGTCATCATAATCCAAATTATTTGGGTCATGCCATAGTATTTGTTTGTTAATAATCCATAAATATTTACTACATTGTTAAACTTGCATGTAAAGGCACACAAGCTGAAAACTTTATCATACAAAGGCTATACTCTTGTTTAGATCACCTACAAAAATAATAAATAGCATTGAACAAACACAGTTGCCTTTATCAGACAGACTTTTAATCTTATCTGAAGGAGCAACAGGTTCAGAAGACCTATCACCCTCACTAAACCAAGCTGACAGAGTCATTATATTTTAATCTATAATTCTCTGGACGAATCCAAACCTCTTTCATTATTTAATCTTTCATTAAGCCAACATGTCTGCAATTTCATATGTTCTCTTTTTTCTTCTCTTTAAAGGTATTTAGGCATTATTTTCATCCATTCTTTCATTAACATGCAAACTCATATGTTTGCCAGCTCCCTGTTCAATTTTCTGCCTGTCTCCAAGTCCTTCCAGACAAGGTTATATATGACATATAGTAGTTGCTCAGAGATACTAGGCCTTTGAACTTAAAGAAAAGAACATGAACATTGGATAGGAAGGACATAAAAGAGGTTTGCAAAGCCTGTTTGAAAGAGATGATGAATACTATAGCAGCTATTGTCTCATGCACTGCTGAAACCTGCCATCTTCAGAATGCATGAGAACTTCTGCTTGTACTGGACAGTGTTGCATTAATTTGGCAGAAAATAAACCCCCTTGCATTCTAATTCTCTTCACCAGAGTGAGAGGCTAGGTGCGGCTAGGTTTAAATTCTGAGTGATATCAAATTTGCCACTATCAGTCCAGTCAATACAAATATGATGAGCCTGCTCCAGAACTTCTAGTCAGACATTATGCAAATGAGCCTTTATCAGTAGAGAAGCAGGTTGTTATCAACATTTCAGATCTAGCTTTCTTTCTCAGCATGTTCCAGGTCCATGACTAATCAGTAATGCTTAACTGGCATATCAAATGTCAGCCTGGTAGCCATGGAAGTTCATGGCAGCAGGAAGAAAATTGGTTGTGTGTGAGCTATCAGCATGGCTAAACAGAATGAGGTTAGACAGTATAGATGGGCTATGATTTGGCTTGTTTCAGTCTGAAGCACTGATTACTTTTAGAACAGAGGTAGAATCAAGATGGTAGGTTTAGATCCAATTGTATAGTTTCAGAGTTACAATTACAGTTAACTCTTGCAGAAACCATTGAGCAAATGGATTAGAGTTTTCTTGCTGGCAACCAAACAAAGCTTAGAAGGGCTGTCGGAATGAGTCACCAAACTAAATTAAGGTCTTGAAATTATATGGATGTAGACCTTAAGTTAGGTTTCTAGACAGGGGTTACCAGCTTTAAAAACATCCTGGTAAATACTGGAATTAGAAAGGGTACTGGATTAGGAGTCCACCTATATTAGAAACAGCGTTTTATTTGCAGTTTCCTTAAAGGCTGAAGAATAAAGAAGAACCAGTGGTGATCAACGAGACGTCTGTGAGGCCACTAAATAGAGACAGAGTGCCTAATGGGCTGGCAAATTTTCATCATAAATATGAGTTAGCCTATGCTAACTGCCCATTGACCAGAATAAATCAGGAGCGATCAGTTTGCAAAGAATGATCTGTGTCCTCTTTGAAACTGAGATGCGGTCAGAAAGCTGAGCATTGATGCTGGAACACAGATGTCAGCTACTCAGACAGGACCCATCAAGGTGGTCCTACACACAGAAAAATTGTGGGGCTTCTTCTGGCCCCACATTTTTCACTATCTTCATCTACCTACAGAGCCTTCTTTCACAGGCACATACGAGCTCATGTGCTCTGACCTACTTTCTTTAGCCTCTGTTAACATTTTATCTGTTCTAGATAAATAGGTTAGCACCAGGGACTAATGGGTGGCTACAGTTACAAATGTACAAAAAAAAAAAAACTATTAGAGGTTTCTTTGTCTCCTCCCTTCCTCTCCCTTTCTCTCAGGAGAAGCCAGGGAAATAGTATGTACCTCTTTTAATACATTACAGCAAAGAAAGAAGCCCTCTGTCTTAAACTTACCCTATATTTCGGTGAGGAAAATTTTAGCCAAGCAACACCCAAAGAATGAAGGGTTCCCCTACTGTTTCTAGGAATCACAGTTACCAGTCAGTGGGGATCTTGAATACTGACTATAGTAAAAATCAAGCTAAAATGTTCCCTTTAAAAGTTTGAAGTTTACGTATGACAGAACAGTCCAGCTGTAGATTTTTATAAATAAAATATGCACTGAGAAAAGCAAGGTAGTGGAGAAGGATGATACAAGCATCACCCAAAGTGTCACACCCATGAGCTATGATCAAACTGGGAAAAAAAAATTTGAAAAACTACTACAGTTATCTTCCACATTTCCACCCGTAATGCTTTCTCTATTTGACACAGAAATAGGAATCATTTGAGAGTGTAATAAAAACATAACAGTTGTTTCACACAGCACTGAAATACACAAATTCAGACAGAAATTGAAACAATACTGAGATAGATATGACAGAAGGTCTATCTCTCTGGTATGCAGTATGAATCCCTATGTCTGGAGAAGGGCAGCAGGACAGCATAAGACTGTGAATACTGAGGGGTGATCATACTTCAAATAATTGTAGCTCAGAACTGAAGTTCAGTGGTTATTAAGATTGCTACAATAAAAATTATACGTAGTCATCACTTCAAATTCACATCACTTGAAAAAACAGACGGAATGACTCTGCACTTTAACGTTCGCCATTCAAATAGGACAGTTTGTTGAGCTCTTCTTTGAAACACAATGCAGAAAAATTTGCTTATGGGGAAAGCAGGTATGGTAATTTTCCTGCAGGGAGCATAAGTACTTCAAAGTAGTTATTTCCTAATTAATTTGTTCTCTAGGGAAACATTGTATGATTGCCTTCACTGAAGTAGAGGATTAGATACCAAAGAATTTCCTTGTACAGGTTAGTTGAATAACTAATGTGATCTATACCAATTATTCCTATTGGCTCTCCTTGGATAGATTAGCTCTTCTGCATTTCAGGCTTTTCACATACATTTCTTCTTTGGTGACAAAATGTTCAGGTTTTTTGTTGCTGTAGTGTTTGGGCTTTTTTTTTTTTTAAAGGATGTTTCCCTAATTACCTTTTAATATGTTTGAAAAAAGTTTGGCTTATAATTATAACTCATTATATGGATCTTCCAGGATTGGGTTTTGGTTTTGTTCTCCCTGCGATATTTTGTGACATTGATAATGAAACTATTAATGATCTAGCAAGTGCTACTCACAAAAAATAATCATCTCTAATCCAGGAATATCTTTTCCCTTCATAGAGAGTGCTCATGTCAGAAATAGTCCTTGTTCAACTTGCTGAATTATGTTCCAGTAACAAGGGATGCCATTAGCAATTATCATCAGAGATTTCATCTGCTTGAATTAATAAAGCTCAATGTTTAATGTTGGACAGAAAACAGCTATTCCATCTTATGAAAACCTGTGAAGTTTTAAAATTAAGGTGAAGCCAAGAACTGTCAGTGCTGCTCACAAAAAAGTCATTGACTGGTACTCTAAATACTGAACAGCCATTTTGGTAGGACATTTGTCCTGACAACCAAACTTCAATGGAAGTCTTTCACATTCAAGAATAATGTCATTCAGTAAGCCTTTGGTGATTTTAAAAGTGTGGTTAAAACATGTTGGGGGAAAAGGAAGAAAGGGAAATGCTGGTCATGACTTGTTTTGACAAGTTACTCCCAAAGGTAAGAAATCTTCCTAATGAAGATGCTATCAAATTAGTAAATTAACTACGTCAAATGTATTCATATTGACATCAAAATTTGTAATTTTCTACCATTACTCTAAGTCTAAATGAATTACATTTTTTCCTGAACTAAATCAGAAAACATTACTACATGGTCTTGAACTTCATTTATGTAAAAATGAATTGCATGTAAAATAATCAAATAATCAATTATTTTAATAAACAAACAGAATGGAAGCTTTTGACTACTTTAAAAGTAACAATTAAATAAGATAAAGTTAGGAGTAACTTTTGAGTTGAAGCAAAATGATTCTGTACTTTAATGAACTACTCGTAGAGCAGACATAGTTGAAAAATCCTGACCTTTCAGTCTGTTTGTTTACTGAAGAATAAAAGAAAAATATTAAACACTAAGAGACAGTTTAGGTCAATCTGGGTCATTCTTTGACTCTGCAGTGTACCAAAATTGTTAGTTTTTTCTGAGTGTGTTTATGCGTATGTGTGTATTCCAGGATGTCATCTCTTTTGCTAGAAATGTCTTTCCTTTAGGTTATCGGTTTCCTTCTTCCCCAAATATTGATAGCTGCATCTATCTCAGTCCTCACAGCAAAAATAAATCCCAGCAGTATCACCTTCTTTGCTGACACATGCAATATCACATTACAAACTTAATTATGATTGTAGTTTTTATCCCACCAACAATATTGACTTGCAAGGCTTTACTGTCACCCACAATTTGTATTCACTTACAGTTCACAGATATAGTCTCTGCGGTCAGGGATTTTATGTAATTAAAATATGAAGTGATTTTATGGAATTTATAAACTTCATAATGCTAAGCTTACTCATTTTTATCATTCACTTGACCAGAAAGAAAATTAAAACATTAGAACTTAGACCAAAAGCCTACCCAGCTCAGTATCCTGTCTCTGGTCGCCAAAGAATGGAGCACTAAGGAAGAGAATGAGAACAGACTAAGCCTGTACCAGTGCCCCTGCAGAATATATTCCCAGACTCCAACAGTTTGTGGCTCAGGGACTTTGTGAGCCAGAGACACTGTCTTGTATTTAATACCTGTTGATCTACTTCTCTTCTATGAATGTGTCCATTGCCCACTGAACCCATGCAAACTTTCAGGATTCTGTAGCAAAGGCTTACTTAGCTTAACTCTCTTGTTTATAGGAATTTGAAGAAATAACATAGGCCTGCTCCTGCCTGAATATATTTGTATTTTGAGAGGGAAAGGAAAATTAGATCTCTCCTTGTTAGTGGGACAGAAGTCTAGCTATAGACATAGAATGAGATAGGGCACAGATAGCTTCACTTTCCTACCCTGCCTGCAGGGAACTTCTTTCTACAAACAAGCATGCAAGCACAAAGCAATATTAGCCATATGCTAAGGCAGAAAAAGGGTGTGCAGAGGAACCGTATTCTCCAATTTTTTTGCAAGAAGCAAGATGCTATGCTTATGCATGTTCCACTTCACCTTAACCCCTATTTATAGAAGGTATCTCTTCATGTCAAACAGAAAGAATATGTCCTACTTCCATGTCTCACTAAGCTAATCTACAAAATAATTCTCCTACTGCATTCAATTTATGATCCTGACTAGAAGCTATAATAGTTTCCTTCTTGAACTCTGTGAAGCTGGAAAAACTTGCTATGTATCCTGGTACAAATTGTAACATTAATATTTTGTTATGCCTGTGGAAGCTACACATAAGCAAAAGTTACATATAAGATGCTACAAGAACTGTGAAATAAACTTTGATTTTACCTGCTTTAATTTGAACTTTCTAGGCTGTAGGCTTGGTCTTTGCTGCAAGACAAACTTTTGGGGACTTTTGTTCTAAACTGAAATAAACCTGTAGAGAAACATGAAGGTTGGAAGACAGATTAATTGTGTTTATGCAAAAGTAGGCTGCTAGAAGCTGAAGTGCAGAATGGAAATTGCTCTTTTGAGTGTTCTGATTAAAAAAAAAATCATGAGTAGTTATAACAGTCAGCCATTGAAAAATCATAATTTTACCTTTTACTGCACCCTTGCCCCCTAAAATGGAGAAAGAAAACCATGCTTCAAGTTTCAAAGGACTTGAAAACATTACAGAAGCTCACCTCTGCTAACATAACTTCTCCTGAAAAGCTCAGATTTTCTCTTCTCTTTTTGAAGGTCTGACTCTTACAGGTACTTTACAGGCCTTACTGCAAAGGTAACTTAAGTTGGTTTTTCTGAAGTGAAGGTATTCTTAAAATGATCTAACACACAAATGGTGGAAAACAACTCCCTTGGTGACTGATGGTCTGTGCTAACTGTGTAGTTAACAATCACTCCTTTGCAGAGCAGCTATCCTGAATGGAAGGTGTTTTGTATGTGTACATTTTTATTAAAATGGACCACATTTTTGTAGTCTCTTAATAGACTGTACTTTTCCCTGATTAACTTTGCCTGTGTCTCTACTACTGAGCTGACACACCCAGTTTTACACCAAGGCTGATGAACACATAAACATTTTTCATATATATATTTATCTATATGTATCTTCGCTCAAACATGACTACAGTGAAGCAAGTCAAAGTGCTCCCAGAGAAGAGAAACCGGAGCGCAAATGGGAGTGGAATTCAGATCCTACTTATGTAACACGGACATGAGTTGTGCCAGATCTTCCTCACACTAACAGGTCCTCAGGGATACTCCCTATGGCTATTAACCACTTCAGCTTAGCATTCTACCCTATTCCTCTGTGCTCCTTATTCAGCATAATCCATGACACACTAAAAATATACATCGTTAGATCAGTGAGTCAGCCTGCTCATTTGCATAGATTGCTCACAAAGTGTGGTGAGAGCAGAGAGGAATGCCCTGATAAGTGTCTGTAGGGCCATGCCCAAAGGCATGGCTTTGCTTCTGGGAAAACCTCCCTGTAGCAATATGAGGAGATACACCAATGGAAACACAACTGATTCAGGCTAGCTTTATAAGAACCAGCAGACAATACTGCTTGAAATAAATACATAAAGAGAAGCTGCCTACACTTCAGGCCAGCCATAGAAGGTAGTGTTTGGAGGAGGTCCACAGACTTACCAATATTATTATGAGCAACCACTGAGCCTGTGATTATTCACGGTCTTTTGCAGCGTGGACTGGGCTTTCATATGCATGTTGTCATAGTAAGATCACCGACTTGGTCTCTGCGGCTCAAAGACTTGAAGAACTGGCTCTTTTTCCAGGCTTGACCAAGATGCATGCTCTGCTCTCACCTGAAGAAACACTACATAGGTAAAGCTGGTTCAAGAATGGTGTAGTATACATTAGAAGCATAGCTTTAATGGATGTTTTGATTTGTATGTTTAAAGGGGTATAGGAAGAGAGGATATGTAAATATGTGCTTAGGATATATACTACCCCTTACGAAGGCAAACCCTCCACAGCAGTAAACGAGTACCACAATTATGTAGAACCAAAGCACAAAAAAATTTCTAGAAGGCTCCCACCAGCTCTGGCCTCACACTATTCCCATTCAAGAGTAACTGCACATTGTTTAGCCAATAAGGTCTAGGGCTTCTAGTGTGTTACAAACTGGCAGAGCCAGAAATCCAGAAACAAACTAACACCATACACTAAAGCTTGGCTCACTAACAACCAGGGTAGCTTTCTCTACACAGTCTTCAGTGAGGTCCTGCTTCCTGTAACTTTCCTCATTTGGACCAACTACTACTGCAACACTTTTAAAACGGCATATACTTAACAATCTGCCTCTGCCTTCAGCCCTTCTTCCTGCCATCCTAGAAGACAAAAAACACCCCTACAATAATTGGCAAACTTAGTTTCTTAGGCCTATATGGCTCATCTCAGTGATGTAGTGATCTCAGTACACAGAACTGAGAACCCTTGCAGACTTTTGAATCTTCACTATATTAATTTCCAAAGAGCACTTTCTACAAATTCACTCTTCCCCATAAAATTACATTTCAAGATTTATTTTTTTAGCTTTTTAAGGTCATATGTTTCACTTCCCAGCCAGAATCCCACTAAGATAGATTTTCCAGGCACGTTACTGGATACCAGGACAAAAGAGGTAGTATCTGCATCCTCATTCAGGATATAGGACAAAGGTACACAACCAGGCTGGAGGAGAGGACAAGTCATTCTCCACCAACCTCACTCTCACTTTGCTGGGGCTCTAGTTTTCTTCCAGAATATTCTTTCCATGCCTACCATATGTAGACAAGTCTAAATGATGGAAAACAAATGGATGAGAACAAACGAGTGGTTGTCTGTCAGCCAAAACCTTTCTACACGAGGAAAATGGCATGGCACATAGACACGTGCCAAAGCAAACATCTCTGAAGGGAAACATGATTTTTTTTTCTCTTCCACCAAGCGATGCTCTGGCTATCCTCCTATGTACCATCTTGCCCTGTTGCTTAGATTGTGAATGATCCTGAGTTTGTGGCTCCAAACTGCTCGTTTCTTCAGAAATACGAAAGACAGCAGAAGTAGACATCATGTCTTGACAACTTTGCGAAGCTGAAACTGAGACCCTGTGTCATGTAAGTGCTATGTGGGGCACACCATTCCAGAGTGTATGAGGAGACAAGTCATTGCTAGAAGTGCTTATATGTGTGTTGGCACAAACAGTGGTGAAATAGTTACTATGCCAAGGGGCTACTCCTGCTCATGTCAGTATGGACAGGAGCTGCCTGTCCCAAGGGGTCCAACCACCACAGAGTGCTTCGATGCTAGTCTAACACATACAGTGCAATTTAAGCTTTAAGCTATTCTTTGTACTTGTTTCAAGTACAAGATCATCTTTCTTGAATATGGTCATCTCCAAATAGCACAATGCACTTCCAAAAAGGCTTATTAGAACTTTTTACAATAGCAGCATTATTTCCCTCTCTCTATTTTAAATACCTCCAGACGCATTCTATGGTCATGTTTGCCTTTCTCATCACCACACTACATCCATGATTCACAGTCATCCTGTGATCAACTGGTGCACACAGTTATTTTCAACTTATCGGTTATTTTCAACTAATGAATGTACAGTGTGCAGCAGAGGCTTATATTATTAGTTACATATTATCTGACAATATTTTGATTTTTGCCTCATTTCTCTTACTCCTCAAAGTCATCTGGTCATTGCAGTAATGAAATGTGGTGTAATTAGTGTACTAATTAGGGTTTGATTCTCTGCTTCAGTTAAATTGCTGACATAAGCAATCAACTCTCAGTTTTACATTTAATGCATTTATTTGCATTTTACAATCAAGTTCAACCCTCTAACGTATGCATTCTTCAGAGTGCAAGGCTGGTTTCTCAAAGTCCACTATCTGGAACATCTGGTTATCATTTCTCTAGAAGCTATTTCTTTTGCATTGACAAGTACAGGTAGTACCTACACCACAACAAATACTGGAAGGAAACAAAAACAACAGAGAGATGATGTATCATCATATTTCTGAATACGTACAAGTTGCTTTCTGCAATAATTAGTGTCTATGTTACACATTTCTTAGTTTATACCCACTAGAACAAGCTCTGCTGAATTTCTTGAAAGACAAAACAGAAGAACCACGGACTTAAAAATTACTTGAAACTCTGCTGCATTTGCATTGGTAGGTAGTTTATCCAAAATTTGAAGATCCAGCAATATCATAAATGCATTCAACCAATGAGTGGAGACAGCATCCAGCTCCTGATATATCTTGACCTAAGTCTTCTACCCTTAGCAAAGCATGCAAGAAGAAGTGTTCAAATGTGAACTGAGATCCCAATTTTAAACTCTAATCTAACAATTATCTTCTGTCTTGTAATGGAAAGTATGAACAACTTGACAGCAGCATGTAAATGCCTGCATGAGAAAAATAGTATCTATAAATACTCAGGCTAGATCTAATGCTTATGATATGGACACAATAGTTAATAATATACTAATTGTGCATATAAAAATCTGCACAATATTCGGATTTGAGAGATAACAATAGTACAGATTTTATGTCCAGTAGTGACCCCTGGTGTTTAAGGTAGTCATAAGAATGATAAACATTCCTAGAAGAAAATTAATTGATTACTTTGGAATCAGCTGCCTTTCTGTGTCCACACATATTGCAGACTCTTCCTCAGAGATTAAGGAACAATCTGTAGCTGTATTATTGTTTAATTGTAAGTATCTTACAGATCTGTCAGAGCTTAGTCCTGCAAACGCTTACACAGCATGCCCCATACTTCTACAAGGCAGAAGTTGCTTACAAAGCACATCCTGCAGCCTTGCTACTCTAATGACAGGCTTCTGGGTCTGGACTGCAAGCAAATTTTGCTCAGGCCTTGCCAATTTCCTGATGCACCAGGCTTTCCACATTCTTGCGGGATACCCTCCTTTTCCCGGTCTTTGATGGGCAGCTGTAGCAAGCCAACGCAGCTTGAAAAACAGCCAGGAAATACAATGCAATTGCTGGCTTAACCCACAAACCTAAAGCTCTCCATTGCTTTCTTCTCATCAATTGCATCAAACTTATTGAGTAGATCTTAACAAAGACAAATGAATCAACTTCCACATCATTATTGTTTTTAGTTAACTGCTGTGAGCCACAGCCCACTTTCAGAGAGGCTACTGAATACACATCTACCACACAGAATGTTACAAAACCTCCTAATTGTATTTAAAATTTTTGTGGCATGATTCCTGAGAATTATGTTTTGTCCTGGAGCCTTCTATTAGGCACCTTTGTGACCTTGATCTCTGATCCAGCCCAGATCTCTGTTCTGTTCCTCTCCCTGTCCCAAGCATCTTCCTTGATTTGATCTCTTGGTTTAGACTCTTGCTTTTCCAGACAGTGTGTTGGGTATTCTGCCTTTTTCAGATGAAATTGATTTTATGTCCGATTCCTGTCAGAATGCCTCTGGCATTCCTAGAAATAATTTACACTCTTGTAGTTCCTAATGCTGTTCTCTGCTTCTTGAATTGACAAGGCATTTCAAAACATAGAACTAAGTTGCCTTTGTTCTGTACTGCATTCTAGAGAACTATCAGAAAGATCCTTTCAGAGTCATAATATCCTGCCAGCACAGGTTTGAGGAATACTAGAAAATCGGAGGGGAAGTACTGTAGTAATACACCCTTATTCTACAAACTGGCACGGAGTACTGTTAAAAACTGAAATGTATTTCTGGCACAATTTAAGCTAACAGTATCACCTCTTAACTTCATGAGTAAAGATTTTGCATACTCATGTACTAGCTGTACAACACTACAAATAGTACTCTATAAAGAATACATGAAAAACACAGGCATTAAGTGGTTTAGGAATAAGGGCACATCAGCCTCACCTTGACATTTTCTCCTCCTGTTAAGAGGGGGGGGGGGGGGGGGGGTGTGTGGAAAGGATATAATTCTAGTATTTTCCATTTAACTGCTTACAATATTTTCTCATGCTTCCCACAAAACAAGTCCACATCACAGTCAGACAGGCATTACTGCATGATTTGTTTTTCAAAACCACACTTATTTCAAAAATGGGCATTTTCAGTTGAATGGCTGCTTGGATTACACTTGCTCCATTCTTCACAAAAACCCTCAAGTAATAATTAAAAAAACAGTTAAAACCCCAAAGTTTTAGGGGAACCCAAAACTCTCCCACGCTTGTAAGCACTAAAGCAAAATCATTGGTAAACCGTCTCTGACCGACCCCACCGAAGACCAGACCACTCCCGTCGCCCTCGGGAAAACGGAGCGCCCCGCAGGCCGACGGTTCCCCCAC